TAGTTTGAGATAAATTTCGGTCATAGATGTCGTTTACGATATTTATGTCCGGGCGGTGATAACAACAAAATATTGGGAAATAAGAATCTGATGTGATGTTCTCGAATGGTAGGTTTCAAAAACCAATCATAAAACAAAAAAACAAAAAAAACAATAGGGCCTCATACCCACCATGCACGGAAATGCAAGCATCTTGCCCACTAAAATTCTGGAAGTTCAGACTGTTTCTGCGTTGCAATGTCACAGTTGCTGTTTCGTCGTGGCATGTTGTGGCAAGTTGCTAAGGGCCCTTGAGCAAACTTCACAGGCGAACCAGCGGATGGTGATTTCAACGCAAAAATATGCCTCAAGTGAGGAGATCCGACAGGGCTTCAAGATAGAAGTCACTGACCTTCGGACCTGGGGTATGGGGTGACAACAACTCATGATGAGAGTGAGAATGATGCGTTTATGTATGGAAATCTAGCAGGTTGTTGATGTTTTAAAGCTGCCAGAAATGATAATGAAACTGATCAACAGCCTCATCCACGTGACCTTACTGTGCTTTCCTGCTGCTCTGCACCAAACTTAGTTCTGACGCAAACACAGGCACACAAATGATGTTGTCCACCGTCTTAAAAACATAGCCATACTGACTCTCTTGTTTGTTGTAGTCGGTGTCGATCGCAATCCATGCCGTGCTCATCAACACCTTGGTTGAGCTGCTTCTAACTCCACACGACCAGCCCCATCATGCTGAAAAAACAACCCAAAATTCGGTTGTGTTTCTTGGACAACCACCACTCCCACTCCGAACAAACAAATCATTCTAAAGCAAGATTGATATTGACGAGTAATATCAACATGTTTTTTTAAAACAAAAACAAGAAACAAGCTGCCGCAAACCGCCACGATTCTACCCCCAGCTCTGAAAATTCCGAGGTTCCATAAACAGCGTGAAATTTTTGAACCACCCGCTGCGTGCGATGTGGGACCAGCAGCCCTTCTCAGCGTAGAGTTTTTCCGGATCTTGGGCCTGCCGAAAGTCTAGATTCAAATGGTGGGTTCACCAGCGAAGATTGGCCAAATTGCCGAATTGAAAATTTATAATTATATGGAGCTTTTCTACAATGGGGGTACCCCCAAATCAATCCAAATCATTCAAAATTAGACCATGTTATACCATTTTAGTATTCAAACCCATGGTTTAGGAGATGCCTCATGTAAAGAAACACCCATATTGGTGTATAATTCATAATTCATAACAGTAGAAAACAAGGGAATCGGCTGACTCGCCGCCCTGCAACTGTCGACATCTTGTTTCTTCATTCTCAAGATGCAATGCTGAAACCCAGTGTTTTTCACATTTTTCATCTTTGGAAAGCATTTAGAGAGTATCATTTTGTACTGCGTGGGCCAATTCAAAATGAAGAAAGTTGTATTTTGTGCAGGCGAAACGATCATCTTTTTACCACGCCTGGAAAAAAAGTTTGGAAATGCCTGTTGATCCAAAAAATCCCATGCCCAAACGGCTTAGAAGCATCTTTTCTCAACTCTGCCACAAGCATTTGGGAATTCCTAAATGGAACTCCACTGGAAGCTTCGCGCCCACTCCCAACGATTTTCTTTGGTTCCTCCATGGGATTTGTCTTTTTGGGCAAAAGGGATTGGCTTCCATTTGTTCAAGTGTTTTTTTGTTGGGTATGTGCAAGCATAACATCATATTCTATCAACATAACATCAAACTTATGTTCGCGCACGTTGACAACATGTGCAAGCGTAGCAACACATTCTATGAACGTAACATCAAACTTGTGTTCGCACACGTGAACAGCATGTGCAAGAGTAGCAGCATATGTTTTTCTATGGTAGCATGCCACAGGACGTTATTATTCCACCCCACCCCACTCCATCTCTAACGTAGCATCATGTAGGTGTGCAAGTGCCAAGGAACGTTATTAGCCCCATCTGATCCCACCCCACCTTTTTTTTTCCCCCCCCCACCCCACCTCATCTCTAACGTAGCATCATGTAGGTGCGCAAAGGCCAAGGAACGTTATTAGCCCCACCCCACCCCACCCCACCCCACCCCATCTCTAACATAGCATCATGTTGGCGTGCAAGTGCCAAGGAACCTTAGCCCCAACCCACCCAAACCCACCCCACCCCCACCACAACATGGAAGTATACGACAGCAAAAAATAACACGCCTTCTGGGGCGGCGAGTCAGCCGATAGCCAAAAACAACCAGAAGTTTGCCACAATAGTAAAAACATGCGTATTATGCTGATTGGTGAAGAACGGGAATTCTATAATAATGGATTATGATCAGCAATGATAATTTCCAGTTTGTGGGATAATCTCCCAACTAATCATCGACCAACAGGGGTTTGAACACTGCTCATATGTTGGCTAAGTTGGCAAACAGAACTCCAATGGCTAGTGGGTTTATGATAAAGTGGGTTTATGTTAAAGTAGATATATCTACAGTTTGTATGTACATAAACCAGCCTGGAACTGGGGGGGGCACCACTTTCTCGGTACCTCAGAATCATCTGAAACTGGTCACTTTTAACGGGCAAACATGGGCAAACCACTGGTTTGCAGTTTGCGGTACCCCTAGTTGAGGAAACACCTCTGTAGATCTAAGGTCAAGTTGTCCAACTCATTTCTAGGTGCCTCCAAGAAATACAAATGGGTTTGATATCTTCAAAATATATATGCCCGTACCCTCTGCTAATGGCAATGGACATTTCCCTAAAAATTGTGATTTTTGAGAAATCATGTGTAAATGGGTGATTTTCCATTGCCATGAGTACCAGAGAGTAGATCTCTCCAACATTTTGATTCTTGGAACTACAGGGATCTTCCCCCATACGCCAATCTCAAGGCTGGCTGCGCCTGTTGATTGATCGAGTCCAAGACTCCCTTCCTCAGGATGGCTAGGAAGTCATTGCATTCACAGGATGGGTCCCATGTCTGAATGAACATGTACCAACGCACCATTATTTCGACTCAAACCTTGACATTGCACCTTTTGAATGATGCTGATCACGTTTCAAAGAGATACTTTTTTGAAGTGAAAATCGGATTTGTTCGTCACTTTGTAGCTGCCTTGGCCCCCAAGACACGTCAATTTCAAAGTACCTCAAGATACCTCAAATTCATCTAGGCAAAAACACCACCACTTTTAGGTCAACCGCCATTTTTATTCCAGGTTTCTATTCACTCAAATTTACATGGCATTTCTATGGACGTTTCGGGTTCAGCATCCAAGGTACGCCAGGCTGCGCACATCCTTGGTGTTCGCCAGGATGGGTCGGTTGTAACGCATGAAGTTGCCAGAATGTTCCACCTCGGTTGCTATCCACTGGTGCTCCAACATGGTTAAAACGTATTAAACCGTGTTCAACTATCAAGAATGGGCGGTTGAAACAAGTTGAAACAACAAAATAGGAACACCAAATAGATACGGTATCGTGTTCAATGAGTATCACATAACTCACATAACACATGTTCCAAAAAAACGTCAACTTATACACCCAGCAAACTTGAAGTTCTACACCATCAAGGCATCCTGATTCTTTGGAATGCTGCTTTCAAGCATGCCCCTGGGCTCAGATGGATTTAATTGGATTTAGATTCAATTCAGACCTTTTCTGCATGACAGTTTTCCCCCCACGTTGCACTCACCTAGCCACCATTCAGGCTGCAGAAAGATCTTGGACCCTTCCCGCCCAATGCTAAGAACCCAACAGGGACATAGACGCCCTATAAAATAAATATGAATAACTTAACCGAAAAACATCAGTTCAAATAACTTCTCTGGGGGATTCTGGGGGCATCATTAATTCATTGGGGCCTTGGGTTTAAAAATTCTGACCCAGGCCCATCCAGGCCCCCAAACATCCATGGTGAGTCTGGTGGCTGCTCGCCTGCTTCCAACTGAACTCTGGAGTATATGTTGGCACATGTTAGTAAATGTTGGTAAATGTTGGTAAATATCTGGATGGAGCATCAAAGGTCAAGTTGAAGGTATTTGAAGGTATATCCGAGGTTTCAGGACTTGCATTTGGCTTTGAATATGGCGACTATGCACTACGGCAGACAAATACTTACATTACATATTGAAAACTGCACTCACTCACTCACTCACTCTCTCTCTCTCTCTCCCCCTCTCTCTCTTTCTGTCTGTATCTACATATGTATATATATATATGTGTGTGTGTTCATGCATGTGTAATATGCATATGTATATATGTGCGCGTGTGTCTGTGCATGTGGAACGTCTGAACAGACTTAAAACTTCGCGGGCTGCTTATATTATTATTAACATTTTATCGCAGGGGATCACCGGGGTCCCGGGGGGGTCGGTGATCAACGAAGACACCTCCCCGGGACCCGTGTAAACGTAGCTGCGGGGCTTTGGTGGTGCACCTGGGCGCAGTTAAGTCGCAGCTGGTGGCCACCATAGCCCCATATATATATATATATGCATATTCTGGTCATTTCTTATATATATTTATATCTTGTCTAATTGCACGAAAGTAGGGCACCCCAGCATCCTGTGATTGATCATCATTTTCCATGTCAAACTTGCAATTTTTCTGACACACCCATATGGAAATTGTGGTCTTATCCAATTGCTTGGATACTTGTCGGTGGCCCCCATCCCAGCGTGCACGTCAATTTAGGCCCCACTTTTCTCAATGTTACATTGAAACCAGGAACCAGTGGCATTGGTTGGGGGAAAAACGCTTGTGTGGAAACCATTTATCTGCATTGAACATCTGATGGTACTGGTGCACAGTGACTTGACAATCCAAGAGGTGAGTGGTAAATAGAGGAAAGTAACCATAGCATAAACCAGTTATAATTACAAACCAGAGTTTTTGAGCACTTATAAACCAGTGATAAAACCAGCTATAAAACCAATTATCTAAAAATCAATTCTATATATAAACTATATACGTACCGTACAAGCATATTAGCCAGTCTTCTCTGGTATACCTCAGCTTAGCCATTTGCCATTCCTGGATTTCCTGGACCCGAAGTCACGCCTGCAGCGTGAGCCAAACTGCAAGGCCTGGTTTCGTAGGGAATTCTTGGAGATCGCGCTCAGAGGCGACCTGCAGGTTGCGCCGAGAGCCGGTTGCGTGACAGTTGTGAGGATTTTGTGACATTTTATGATGAGCAGTTGCTATTGATGAGCCACTTTTCACAATAATAGCAATACAATAATTAAATATATGAGGATGGCTAGGATGAAGAGAAACTATGATCACTGACAATCAATGAGAATCTGTGGGATCTGCGTCCTAATATCAGTGATTGTCAGCGAAGGTCAGTGACCATTGGATACCCACGGTGAATGTGGAATGCTGTTTGCGTGCTGTTTGCATGCTCCGGCACGTGTTTCTTTGTGCATCAAGCCTGTTCTTACTACATACCAACCTGCTCGTAGCAAAAATGTTGGTGCTGATCCACTATATGAGTGCCAGATTTTTCTCAATAAATGTCCGAAACACCTAACCAGCACCACTGGCAAAGGTTTAATCCACTGAACATGCTGTTGTATCTGTTGTTGATATCGTAACTCTCTTCTTACTCAAAAAAAGGTTGGGCCAAAAATGCCAGTCTTTGAGAATTGAATGCCATTTCACACCATTTTGGCTGCTGAAATTCCTATGGAATACACCCATTAACACAACAAATCCATGAACTGCATAAACCAAGATTCGGCCTAGAAAAATGCCACGACAGTTCCAATTTCCAGCCATGAACGTGCCTGGATTCAGCTTGCTCCACATCAGGTCGTTTGTTAGCATCCTGCAGGTCAGAGAAAATATGATAAAAACCTTGGGAAGAACTGGGAGGATTTGGGCAGACTACGAATTCCCACCCCATGTTAGCGCATTTCTATCTCTGATCATTTCTATCAAGTTGCGACGTCATTTCCTGATTTTTCTGGCCATGGTTGGGCACTTCGGAAGCGTCCACAGTCTAGGGAATCATGGCTAGCCAGTCACTCACAGGGATGGTTGATTTAAACAAACTAGGAGAAAACCGTCACTTGAAGCAGATCTAGTTGACCACACAACCATATTAATCTGGTAAAGCCCCCCCAAAAAAGATAGCATTTGGGGATGGTTTATACTGTATACCATCCGTTTATGGTAAATTTGAGGATGGTATACTATTGCTTTACCAACATTATCATTATGATTATTACTATCATTATATACTCTCTCTCTCTCTCTCTATCTCTCTCTCTCTCTCTCTGTCTCTCCCCATCGCCTTCACAAGGTTCAATTTTTGATTTGGACTCACACACCAAATGCATCCAAATGGCTCAAAGACTTAGGTAACCCAGGTACTATCTAATATTATTTAATCACAGGATGTATGCCGCATTGACCCATGTGTGTTGTTGTCATGCTGGAGTCTGGAATAGATGGAGTATGGAAATCTCATGAAATTTCACCAAAAGCGACTCGCAGCACGTGAATACTTATTGAACAACTCATAGTCTATCTACTTCAGGATGATTCTGCACAGAACTGGGTTATACTTGAGATAAAATAAAAACTTAATCATCCACAACAAAGGGAAAAACTCATTCTCACTAATTTCAATGTAGTAGTTTACTATATATATATATATTATATATGTATGTGATATTTCTTTCCAGATTTATTTATGTATAGTTAAATATTTTTGTTTGTGTGTGCTGCAAATATAAACACATACGTATATTATATATTATATAGATAACTATATGTTAACTATATTCCAAATATATATATATATACATATATATATAACATATCTACAAATATTGTAAATATCATATATAGTATGCTAATAGCTAACTATAATTATTCATATGTAATATTAAACACACACATATATAGTCATATCAACATGATATAACTGGATTCGACTTCAGCATCCGCGGGACGATTTTGCCCAACGCCCAGGCGGTCCAGCGACAAGCACGGCGAGGACTGGCCGTGCGGCAGCAAGGGCTCCGACAGGGCGGGGCTGCTGTTGATGCCGGTCCTGACGGGTGGTTAGGGTGTAAACTTGAGCAAAACATGTGGATAAAAGGTAGAAAACAATAGAAAACATAGTTTTGATGGTGGTTAAATGGATTAATATACATATTTCACAGTGGCTATGGCTATTTGTGGCTATTCAATGCTATTCATAATGACAATTGATGGTTGAATTGCTGTTTCGGATCTGCTTTCTGATCTTAAATGGCACTGCACCCTGGCCCCTTGACAAATAATGTTCCTTCAAAAAATATAGCTGTGCATCAGGTGAAAAAAACCGCCACTGGAGAGGAAAGAAAGACTGCTCTGCCCAACTGGCAAGAGAAGGCAATCACTTCCCACAGGCTGAAAAAAGGGGTTGAATTGCTGCGGGCTATTAATTATGGTTAAGAATGGTTACAAGATGATGCTAAGTGGGTTTATAACTCTATAGCTAGGACTCTTGGTAGATATATCTAGATATATCTATAGATATCTATAGTTAATGGGATTGAGGGGGGCACCACATTGCATCTAACGTTGCCTGCAGATTAAGAAACATCCTGGTTGGCTCATTTGGGGATGTCCACTTTGAAGGGAAATTCACACTTTTGACGGTGGGCCCGGCTATGAATCATACGATTGTTTGTCATCCGGGGTTGACATTACGGAAAAAGGTCAGCATAATCGTGATTCAAGATTACAAACATCTGCAGTCTCCTGGGTCATAGGTTTGACCAATGAATAATTTATAGGAACCTTGGATCAGAAAGCGCGACGGCCTCGTCCAGTGCACTTTCCGCTGTTCAGGATTTTCAAACTTCCTGTCACGTCGGTGCATCTGACTGCTCGATCGAAACTAGTTTGTGTCAATGGCGGTGTGAAGATGGTCAGAAAAACATCGGAAATCTGAGACGATCTATACCTCAGAACTCCAAGAAAGACACCAAAACAGGATCAAAACAGCCTGCCTGTTTTGTATGCATGTAAATCAATTTAAAAATAAATAAATTATAAATAAATAAATAAATATTTTATAAATAGAAAAATAAATTATAAATAAATAAAAACTGAATATAAATAAATAAACAAACAAATAAATAAATAAAATATATATATATATATATACGCATAATATCTAAATAAATGACTGAATAAATCTGAATATGTGTAAATTTCTATGGATACACATAAACAACATATATTCCAAATCTTTTTTTTGCAAACGATCTCATTTCACGACTGGCGAAGGGCCTATAGCCCATCAATCCATCAAGACCCAAGCCTATAAACATCATAAAGATGAATGACGGCAACACTAAACTATGCATCACAAGCAAGAATATACACATGCATATATATATATATATAGATATACATATATATATATACATATATATATATAGATGTGTGTAATGACAACGATATTGTAACTTGATGTAACCTGTATTACTGTAGCTCTTCCAGCCCATCCGGCCCAGGTGGCCCAGGTGGGGAGTTTTTCGGCGCCTGCACAAAGCTTCGTTCAACGACAGCACTTGTTGGATGGCAGCCATCTGTGCCGTCAGCAGCTCCCCGAAGCCTTCGAAATCAGAAAGGGAAAGGTTTAGCCATCCCAATGGGAGAGGGATTCATGGATATTTGCATTCTTGTTCTCTCTCTCCCTCTCTCTCTCTCTCTCTCTCACTCATATCTATTTATACATAAGTATAAATATGGCATGTCAATATATTTATATGTGGCAGTGGATTTACCACAGTCATATTAGAGTCAAAATTTGATGATCAAGCACGGTTGAATCATAAAATCTCCAAACCACTCGCGAGCACCGACAAAAACGCGAGCCACTCCAACCTTCATCACGCGCGACCGGCATTGCCGGCTGACGCGTTTTGTCGCTGTACCAGGTCAGAGTTTTACAACCCACGGGACCCAAGGGATGGGGTGCTACCCTGGCAGGTTGTACCCTCAGGCTTGGGATGATTGGATCACTCTGTTCGAGTTGTGCTTTGCCGGCCTTCCGAACTAGATATGGATGGCAGTTGGGTTTTTATACACGGCCAGGAAGTTACCCCTGAAACAATTCTTCCGAAGACACTGCTTCCCGCATATCACCGAGCGGCTCACCCATTGTGACCCTGAGCCCAAATGTCATGGTGGGGATGTCCTCATGAATTCAAGTGGAGCCCGTGGAGCCCGTGGAGCCCGGTTCCAAATAGCATTCATGTTTGCATAATCTTGCGGTAGTCAAAAGGTCAACAGGTGTAGACATAATATATATATATAATATTATGTGTGTATAATGTGTAGATATCTTTATATACGCATATGTATACATAAATAAAAAAAAATATCTATATATATATAAAACATATCTATATATATATATAAATATATTGTATGTAAGTATGTATGTATGTATCTAATGTAATGTAATGAAACGTAATGCAATGTTAAGTAACGTAACGTAACGTAATGTATGTATGTGTGTGTGTGTATGTGTGTATGTGTGTGTGTATGTGTGTGTGTGTACGTATGTATGTGTATGTATGTGTGTGTATGTGTATGTATGTGTATGTATGTGTATGTATGTGTATGTATGTGTATGTATGTGTATGTATGTGTATGTATGTGTATGTATGTGTATGTATGTGTATGTATGTATGTATGCATGTATGTATGTATGTATGTGTATGTATGTGTATGTATGTGTATGTATGTATGTATGTATGTATGTGTATGTGTATGTATGTGTATGTATGTGTATGTATTTGTATGTATGTCAATATGTATGTGTATGTATGTATGTATGTATGTATGTATATGTATGTATGTATGTATGTATGCATGTAAATATGCATGTATGCACCTATGTATGTATGTGTATGTATGTATGCATGTATGTATGTATGCATGCATGTATCTATGTATGTATGTATGTACGTATGCATGTCTCTAAATATGTACGTATGTATGTATGTATGTAAATGTAAATGTAAATGTATGTATGTATATGTATGTATATGTATGTAAATGTAAATGTAAATGTAAATGCAAATGTAAATGTAAATGTATGTATGTATGTAAATGTATGTAAATGTATGTAAGTGTATGTAAATGTAAATGTAAATGTAAATTTAAATGTAAATGTAAATGTATGTATGTATGTAAATGTATGTATGTAAATGTATGTAAATGTATGTAAATGTATGTAAATATATGTAAATGTATGTAAATGTATGTAAATGTATGTATGTAAATGAATGTAAATGAATGTAAATGTATGTATGTATGTATGTATGTATGTAAATGTAAATGTAAATGTAAATGCAAATGTATGTAAATGTATGTATGTATGTAAATGTAAATGAAAAAGTAAATGTAAATGTATGTAACTGTATGTATGTATGTAAATGTGTGTTTGTTTGTATGTATGTATGTATGTTTGTTTGTTTGTTTGTGTATGTAAATGTATGTATGTATGTATGTATGTATGTATGTAAATGTATGTAAATGTATGTAAATGTATGTAAATGTATGTAAATGTATGTAAATGTATGTAAATGTCTGTAAATGTTTGTAAATGTCTGTAAATGTATGTAAATGTATGTAAATGTATGTAAATGTATGTAAATAAATGTAAGTGTATGTAAATGTAAATGAAAATGTAAATTTAAATGTAAATGTAAATGTATGTATGTATGTATGTAAATGTAAATGTATGTAAATGTATGTATGTAAATAAATGTAAATGAATGTAAATGAATGTAAATGTATGTAAATGTATGTATATAAATGTATGTAAATGTATGTAAATGTATGTTAATGTATGTTGATGTAAATGTATGTATGCACATGTAAATGTATGTATGTGTGTATGTATGTAAATGTATGTAAATGTATGTAAATGTATGTAAATGTAAATGTAAATGTAAATGCAAATGTAAATGTAAATGTATGTATGTATGTAAATGTATGTAAATGTATGTAAGTGTATGTAAATGTAAATGTAAATGTAAATTTAAATGTAAATGTAAATGTATGTATGTATGTAAATGTATGTATGTAAATGTATGTAAATGAATGTAAATGAATGTAAACGTATGTAAATGTATGTAAATGTATGTATGTATGTAAATGTAAATGTAAATGTATATGTAAATGCAAATGTATGTAAATGTATGTATGTATGTAAATGTGTGTAAATGTATGTATGTATGTATGTAAATGTGTGTAAATGTATGTATGTATGTATGTATGTATGTAAATGTGTGTAAATGTATGTATTTGTATGTAAATGTATGAATGAATGTATGTATGTATGTAAATGTATGTGAATATAAATGTAAATATGTATGTAAATATGAATGTATGTATGTAAATGTATGTGAATATAAATGTAAATATGTATGTAAATATGAATGTATGTATGTATGTAAATGTATGTAAATGTAAATGTATGTAAATGTGTGTAAATGTATGTAAATGTATGTAAATGTATGTAAAATGTGTGTAAATGTGTGTAAATGTGTGTAAATGTGTGTAAATGTATGTAAATGTATGTAAATGTATGTAAATGTATGTAACTGTATGTATGTATGTATGTATGTATGTAAATGTGTGTAAATGTATGTATGTGTATGTAAATGTATGAATGAATGTATGTATGTATGTAAATGTATTGGAATATAAGTGTAAATATGTATGTAAATATGAATGTATGTATGTATGTAAATGTATGTAAATGTAAATGTAAATATGTATGTATATGTATGTAAATGTATGTAAATGTAAATGTATGTAAATGTGTGTTAATGTATGTTAATGTATGTAAATGTATGTAAATGTATGTAAGATGTGCGTAAATGTGTGTAAATGTGTGTAAATGTATGTAAATGTATGTAAATGTATGTAAATGTATGTATGTATGTATGTATGTATGTAAATGTATGTATGCATGCATGTATGCATGTATGCATGTATGTATGTATGTATGTAAATGTGTGTAAATGTATGTATGTGTATGTAAATGTATGAATGAATGTATGTATGTATGTAAATGTATGTGAATATAAATGTAAATATGTATGTAAATATGAATGTTTGTTTGTATGTAAATGTATGTAAATATGTATGTATATGTATGTAAATATGTATGTAAATGTAAATGTATGTAAATGTATGTAAATGTATGTAAATGTATGTAAATGTATGTAAATGTATGTAAATGTATGTATGCAAGTATGCATGTATGCATGTATGTATGTATGTATGAATGTATTTATGTATAATCTTTTGCAGCTAATGTCAAGTGAGGATTAATAATCCCCCCCGGATTAATCAACCACCATTGCCCAAAAAAAAATGTAATTTAAAAACAGGTGGTCCCCACAGATTAATAAACCGGTGGGCCTACCCCCGATTAATCAACCACCACTTCGGAAATCCATTTTTTATCCAACATTTTTTATTTCCAATTCTATTTATTTCGAATTGTTTTTTACATTTTTTTTAATCATCATTGTTATACTTCAGGTTTAAGTTGATCATTGAAAATTTCAAAAAACAACTATTCCCCAAATGATCGATTTCTAATTAAAATATTTATAAAAAACATCAGTTTGGATAGCTCCCAAAGGGTACCCCCCATGAGCCCATGTCCCCCAGTAATAATAACCATGGTTTGCCCCTGATTAATCAACCACCTTTCTGATCCATGAAATTTTAACAAATCCAATGGAATTCCATTAAGATCTAATTGACGTAAGCCATATCCAAAGTTTTATGGTTCAGAGTTGCTTATTATTAAGGGGTGATTTTCTAGGTACATCCTACCTTCTGGGGGGGGGGGGGGTTTATTAATCCGGTGTTGGCATTATGGAGGATCTATGGAGGCAGCCCACATGAAACCCTCCCTCGCAGCCATCGTTTGTTTTTCACTGAAACCGACGGGAGGTCCGCTCCCATGGCCTGATGCCGGTGGAGTGCCGGTGGATTTGTCCGGTGGTAAAACCGACAAATGATCGCCATGTAGTTCGGAAATTTGGAGATGGACATCCCATCCTATTATCTATTGACACACTTCATGGATCATGGGTAATATGATTTCTAGTAATAGTTATAATCAATAGATAATCCTATTGATATATCAAACATCCTATTATCAAAAATCAGGATTTGCAGTTGCAATCTTTGATATATCTGGGCCAATTGTGAAAATCGACAAATCATCTTGCAACGCCATGCTGTGAGGGTCCATGGTCGGTTTGCTGCTTTCCATGGCTGTCCCATTGGGATGAATTTAGCTTGGCATGGGACTAGCAACACTTCACATCAGCAGTTCATATGCCACAGCATGACGCCATCATGAAAACACATGTTTCTACTTGGTGAACCACAGGAGTAACACCCATTGAATTTCAAACGTCACACAAACACTGTCAAATAGGTGCACAATGTCTTAATAAGAATTTGCCTTAAAATAAGAATATGTCTTAGTCTTAATTCTTAATCACACGGAATTACACGTGTCAGTGTGTGCTTCCGATCGTATGTCTGGTTTGCATCACCTTGCTTGCCTGTTTTCGCCTGATTCTAAGAACAACCCAGCAATTTCTCAGTCCTCTGGTAACGGTGGAAGAAGTCGCGCTGCCAAAAAGAACTCAAATAAAACGGTTACAATTCCCCCCATAAGACGAAGAAACGGAAATACCTTTTATCATCGAGTCGAGGGAGGGGCCCGGAGGGAGGCCGGGAGGGGCCAAACCCGATCAACAATATCACATATGGGCATGCCTCGAAATTCTCTACAGCTGAAATGGGACTGCGGACTTAAATCTGACACATTCAGATACTGCATGACCCTACTACAAACACATTTGTTTTTGCTTCTACATGATTGCCAATAAATAACT